CTTCCCAACACCTATAGGTGAAAATAAACAGTAATTTCGCATACACTCGTCACCATCTAAACTTCATTGCACGGTCACAGTCTGATTGTATTTTAATTTTCAATTTTTTTTTTTACAAATCCAAATTACTTGTAATTTGGAACGTGTGTACATCTTTGTGATGTGTACCTAATAAAAATATAGAAAAAATAATTCGTAAAATATAAATTAACCAAAATACCCCCGAATTATTGGGGTATTTTGGTCCATTTATATTTTATAACTTATTTTTTTTCATATTTTTATTAAGTGCACATCACTAAGATGTACCCACTCTCCAAATTTCAGATCATTCCGATTAGTAAAAATAAAATAAAAATTGAAATACTACCGAACAATTGTGACCATATGATGCAGTTTGGATGGTGATGAAAGTAGGTGAAATCACTATTCATTTTCGCTTATAGGCGTTTTGGGGTATCTTCATATATATATATATATATATATATGGGCAAGCTTTCTATGCTTCCCCTACAACATAAAACTTATATACTTCCCCTTATCTAACCGTCCATTTTGAATGAAGGGTTAAGATTGCCCCAATTACAAGGTCACGTCCAACTGTCCATTTTTTCTATAAACTATTTTGACACCAAATTTTGGACGTCCAATCCTCTATTAAACTTGCACTAGTATAAGGCAACGACACTTCTAGAAAACCATGTTTGTAGTATTTGTATGACCCCAGATTTTGTACACACACTCTCTTCATCTCCATAATCAATCCCAAAAAAAAAAAAATATGGTCAAAATGAGTCCCCTCCAAAAACAAATCTAGACCATTCATTATGTGAATTTCAAGATATTAGCCTTTATAAACTCAAAATCATTTTTTTATTTTTTAACATTGTTCATCTAACGATAATAAATCAATCTAAAAAAATTGGAAATGAAAAATTTTTTCTAAGGCTTAGATCTAAACATCTCACCAAAATGAACGGCCTATGTTAAATTGGGCTAAAAACATACTTTCTAGGTTGTGTTTTCAAATTTTCTTATTTTGTGATTGTTCATTAGAATGAAAAGAGTATATTTCTATTTATGGATCAAACAAATAGTCATAAGATGGTTTTTTAAGGTTGTTGCATTATATTACTATGTTGCATGAAATCATTGCCCTTATCTAAATATATTATGGAAATTTTTTTCATGCGGGCTAGACCGCATTTCTACATATACGGTCTAGAAAATATAAAGCATCCATCTTAAAGATGGATGCAAGTAGGTGTTCCATCTGAAAACAATAAAAACTATTGGTCTAAATGTTTCCTTACTAGAATTATTATTTCAAGTTTTTAAAATTTATTCATATTTATGATCTCCATATTAGAGATTACATGTTTTTAAAAATTAAGTATTAAAATCCATCTCAAAATTAGATTTATTAAGAGGTCTGCATTTCAACATATGCGGGCTTGGGCGCATAGAAACCAAGTCCATATATTATTATATTAAAAAATTAATTTTATTTAAATTGCATGTGAGAAAGTGAATGGATGGATGAAAGATATTTTTACATATATTTTATTAAATAAAATTGGATATATTATAGATTAAAAAATTTATATAAAGCCTCAACTTTATAGTGTAGAAACAAGATGCACCTCAAGAATCTGGTCAAAGAGGTTGTTCTGGCGGTGAAGTCCCCTAGAAATGATCATCTCCACCTCGATATGCATATATATTAAAGAAGAAGATTGCAAGTTGTAAAAAGTTGTACATCTTATGGCATATTATCTACATAGTCCATATTCTAAAACCTTTTCAGTTTTTAAAGATCTATTTAATATATACTATTTTTTTAGTTTTAAATTTCATAACTCAAGTAGAAAATAGTTTTTTAGGTCATCATAAGGGTTTTCGATACCAGAACTGCGTCTTATAGCAAGATTTAGAGGTACACTTTACTTAGATTGTTTACAGTTGTTATACAAACCACACCATTAAGGTCTTCTTCTTCTTCTTCTTTTTTAAATCCTAAAATTTAGGTACTTCTTAAATTCAACAATTTATTAGTCTGCTCAGACACAAACTGCTTTGTTGGATGTGCTTTATTATTCGGAAAGGAAAGTCATAGACTTAGGTGGAGTCCACCCAATAATATGTAAAATGCTTTTCTTCTTTTTTTTAAATTTTTTTTTGGATAAACTAAGACCACTCCTCTAACTCTCTAG